TTTATTATAAACCATTTCTTTAATTCTTTCTTTGAAAATTGTCTTTTTAAAAACAATTCCACTTGAACACACCAGTTAAATATAAATTTGATCACAGTAGGTTTATTAATTTTTATTGTTTTACTAAATTAATTTAATTATTTATATATTTATTAGAATTTATACATTTTTAATATTTTTAAATATTATTTATTTAGACCTTAAAAAAGAATATATTATTTTCTTTGTTATTATCTATGATATTAGAACAACTTCTATTATCAAATTTTTATTTAAACTAAGTATTAAATGGAAATATTTTAAACTAGAAAAATAAAATTTATGAAATTATTAAGTTAATTAGAATAGAATATTTGTAATTGGTTAAATTAAAAGCTTTTTTTATGCAACCCTTTTGATAATATGATTATAAATCTTAATCTTTAATTAAAAAAAAATTAGAAATTATATCTTTATATAGTTTAACTTACTATATTTTAAATCTTGATTTAAATAATTGAATATATCTTTATAAAATAATTAATAAATTTTAATAAAAAAATAAATCTATAATTTAGTTCTTCAGTAATATTGAACTATAGATCTTATACTTATAATTTGAAAGTATTATTATTATACTATTGATCTATAAATTATATTTTAAATTTTTATAAAATTAAAATATATATATAATTAATAAAAATTTGTTTATTATAGATGAATCTTCAAATTCATAAAAACAGTTTTGCAAATCAGTTTAAACACACTTAGCATTTGTGTAGAGTTAATAGAAAATAATATAATCAAAGAAGCTATCAATTTAAATTGCTATAATAAGAAGATAAAAACATGATAAAAAATAGATTTTAAGAGTATAAAAGAAAATTTGCAATTAGATCTATAAACAAGTCTGAAATATAAGATATAAAAAGATTATAGAATGGAAACAAGCACAAAGGATTAATAAAAGAATGAAATATAAGAAGACTTAGGAAGTAAGAAAATAAAATGTTTTATAAGATAATCCTAATCTTGAAATTACAAGATAAAGAGAAGAAGAAAGAGATAGTAAAAATAAAAACTTTATGAAAATTATAAGAAATGGAATCAAGTTTGAAACAAAATGATTGAATTTTAACCCTTGTCAAAATCTTGAAAAGTGATTTGCAATAGTGATCTGTAGGTGATAAAGTTAAAAATTGAAAGAGTTTCTACTTAAACTATTAATAAAATAATAAATTACTTTCAAAGTTATATTTAAAGTTTTGAATAAAAACTTTGATAAGTAGGTTAATTAGAGATTTAGTTTTAATGTTATATATATAATGTATAGTCTACAACTGTTTAATAAAGTATACATATCTAGTCTGATAAAGGGTTTCAAAAAAAAAAAAAAATAAAAATAAAAAATAAAAGTAAAAGTTTTTTTTATTATAATATTTTTTTAATAATTAAAAGATAATAAATAATATATTGATTTTTTTTATTAGAAATAAAAAATATATACATATTTTATAAAGTTATTAAAGAATAAATTTTATTTAAAAAATTATAAAAAAAAGAAAATAATTTTTGTAAATATTATATATATAGTAATTAAATAATTAATGAAAAAATCATTGATTATATAATATTAATGAAAAGTTGATCTGGGAAAGTTTAAATCCTAAGACTATTATGAAAAAATATTGTTCTCAAGACCAAACTTAAAGGCTTTTTATTGCTTACGATGAATTTTTTAAGGTTTAGTATTGTACTGTATATACTATGTTGTATTCTGTTGATAATAGTGAAATCACATGATACTTCAAGATTCCTGTCACATGGTATTTATATCGGTAATACAGGGTGAGACGCGTCATTGCTGATAATGGCTTGTGCTACTACTGGTCTACTTGATGTGGGACGTCGACTCCTCCCAAGTGCGCGAGAATGTTGCATGTTTTTAGTCGCGTTCTTGATATGGCATATCGGAAATTATGTCTATAAACGAGTCAGGAGTAAGAAAAAAAGGTATGCAATGCGTGTTTCTTTCTTTTTTTACAATTGTTACTATTATTATTGTGGCGAATAATCCTTCTGCGCTGGTGATATAAAGGAATAATTGTAAAGGACAAAAGTTAGATTGGATATTAATTTTGTAATCTATTCTGGAAAGTTTACGTAGGCCGATGAGGATCTACAATCACGCGTTCTTGCACGAGCGGCGGCACCGAAAAATCGAAAGGGATTTGGGGAATCTAGTTTCATCTTCACAGGATTATAAGACAAATAAGATCTCCAATGATTTCGATAACGAATCACCCGATGTTCTTTCTTATACTCCAATTCTCGCAGCACGGTGTTCACAAAAGCCTTCGCCACCTGATGAGACCCCATCTCGTTACATGACCACCAAGGAAGGGGTTGATCTTAAGTTAAAATTAATGACTCGCCAACAACAGGTTATCCGTTCAGTTGGTAAGTGTATTTACTTTTTAGATTCATATATTCGATAATTTACTTTTAAGCTGAATGGTGTCCTTTACTTTAGGCTTCAAAGAGGAATATCTCCAAAGTCGACCCACCATTAGTTCACCACTTGCACCAGTTCGCAAGGCAGAGATTGGTAAACGTAATGCTATTGGTGTTCTTTCTCCACGATATCTTGATGACGGAAAGAAGGATAAATCTTTAAATGAACAAGTACTCCATAGTCGATCTAGTGATGTCACTTAAATTTGTGACATGACATCGGTCTAACCTACTTTTTTTCCTTCTTTTTTTTTTTTTTTTAATATACTATGTATAACAGCAAAAATTCGAATTGATATGGGCAGCCTCCAGAAGACAAGACATTGCGTGTGGAAATAACAAATCTCAAAGCTGACGAATCCCAATGACGTTTTACTTTAGCCACCACAACACGTAACTTTTCACGTTAATTCGGAATTTATAATAAAATCAAGATGCGTTGGAGGACTGTGTCAAAATTATTTAATAACCCTAATTCAAGTATTTATTTTATTATACTAATGTATTTTAATCTTCACTGCTTCCCAATTATGCAAATACCTTTAAATTTAACTTCAAATGGGTTTTCCACCGAAGTCTTCTACTTTCCAACGCCTTTTGCAGAACACATCAAATAACGTAAAATGTTCATTGCATGTTTTTCACTCACTCGAGTGTACATTTTGAACTCCTGAAGAATCAAAATCAAGTATTATGCATTGATGTTTGTACAGCTATCCGAGCAGATCATTCGTCCAATTTCGGCCAAACGTTGTAATTTATTTAACATTGGAGTCTTGGTCCGAAATTAGATGAATACTTTTCTCAGGCGATTGTGTATATTTAGCTATTCTAGATGTCCTTTAGATTTAGACCGCCGCCCATATCTGATTATTATGTTTCTCTTTTCTGCTGTTTTTATTGGTATTTTCGGAACATCGCAAAAGTAATGTACAAATTTTATCACGAGTGTTAACAAATTTAAACGAAAAGTGTCAAATATTTTGTGCTGGAATTAAATACTATATATTTTATTATTTTATTATTATAAAAAAGTTTTATCACTTTATTCTATCCTGTTGTTGTGAGATTTTGAGGGGATCGTGGCGGTGAATTTTAGAAATTCCACGTACATATTTGGATATGCTGAATGCTTGTATTACTTGTACCATGCGAAAGTTTAATTTAAACAAATCAAATTCTTCAAATTTTTTTTCATACTGGTAAAAAAAATATGATGAGAAATCTTGTGTTGAAGTCACTTAAAACCTTAATTTGCATATTAATTTTATGTGTTAACACGAGTAACGAGTATAAACCTATTCAACAGGTATGATGCAAATACACACTTCCTTTAAAGTAAATTTTATTAAAATTATTAGAATTATGTAATCATTTAACGTCACATATAAAGAAGGCATAAAAGCAGAAATGACCTGTATAAAAATTTGTCTATGGCTCGATCAGTGATTGTGATTATAATAAGGGGCGCAAGTCTTTTTATAAATTGTTTCTAAGTCACCACCACGAAACTCGAAACTTTCTCTCATCTCACATCATCCGAAAATAAGTTTACTGTCGACCTACTAAATGAACTTACTTCAATCAACGACACTGTTCACAATGTTTTTCCTATCATTCTTATCATTTATTTACATCTCAAGATCAGTATTATCGATTGATCCAAACCTGTCGTTATCGCCCTTCTTCTTCTCCGAGGAAATTACTGTACGAGCTAAACCCAGGATCATTTACCAACGACATTGGAATAAGAGAATAAAAAATCGTGTGCAATGCCGAAATCAGAGTAAATATGCAAATTATCCAGAGTTCTGTCTCGTAGATTTGAGTTGGAGGGAAGAAGAAGAAGAAAAAAATAAAGAAACAGTAAAGTTTGAAAAGTTGCTTGATGACCTATTGTGGTGAATATGTTTGGCAAGATCTTTAGGTATGACTTTCGCGGTCACTAATTTTCTACCTTCGGTGTATTTTATGGCTCTCGTATATCTTTTGTATAAACAAAAACTAGGACAAAAACATAAACATGGAAGGAATGAGCCCATCGAAGCTTTTTTTATTGAGTAGTAAAAACATCGATTCTTTTTTATCGAAATTAAAGTCACGGAGCATAATCCGCGAAAGTTGAAACAAGTACTAATTAATTCAAAAAAAAAAAAATTTTTTTTTTTTCCGTACCCATAGCTTGTTATTTTTGTATATGTTTATTTAATCTTGGAATCAACCTGTAAATGTCGACTCATAATACGTGCCGTCGATTTTTTTTTTTTTTTAAACAAATTTCATTATGCAATAAACGAAAAAATACATTCATGCATTTGCAATATATTCTAAATTATATTTTTGGTTATTTATAAAGTTTTACCTT